CATTGATATGATGAACTGAGAAAAGACTGAAAAAACAGAAAAATGTTATGCCAATACTTAACTCTGCATCGACATTTCTAAATGCATACCGCTATGCTGCTTTTAAAACTTTTGTAATTTTGTTGTTGAATTGTATATAGCTTAAGTGCGAAGAAAATGATGCTTGATAATAAAGCTAAAAAGACAACAACAACAAAAAATTAGGGGCTGGTAGAAGTGAGTGTGACAGCGGACCGGTAGATTGCGAGCTAAGTCAGAGCGTAAAAAAACCTTAACAATCCCTTTTGAGAGACCGTTAAAATCCGAAACCTTTCAGATCTTTTTAAAATTTAATATTTAACGTAATAAAAGTGAAAAACTCCCTTCAAGGTAAAAGAGATAGGAAACACTGGGAATAAAAAATGATTGATTGGATAATATAACCGAATTTAAAATGCGAACTTCATTCTGATTCTACTCACGTAGATTTGTAAATTTATCCAAACAATGTTTGTGTGCTCAATGTTATTATCAGTAAAAGCAAATGTACTTAATACGCACTAAGTTTGCCCGTTAATCTGCTTATCTGTAATAATCTGATTTTTGATTTCATTGTCTATTTAAACTCTTGCAAAATCTTATTTTTCCTGTGTCAAACCAAAACAACGATAATGAATTTAGTTTTTATCATTATATTTATACATTTCTTTTTCAATGAAATGTATTAAAATAGCAGAACGAAACCAGTATCTTAATATTCGGAACTTTAAGCGAATATTATTAAAAAAAATATCTTGTAAAGCCAGATGAGATTCAAATTCTTTTATAGAAAAGTTTGGAGCAATTTTGTTTGCAGTTGAAAAATTCAATTACTATAATATTCACAATTGCAAACTTTCCTTTATATTACTACTTATGTCTGTTCGGAACCTATTTCCAGTATCTTTAAATTGTTTGCAGAAATATAATATGGTTTACCTAGAATTACCTTACAGTTACCTATTATTTTCCTCTTTAGTAACTGACTCACTTTAAGAACCCGATAGCTCAAGTCCACTTCATAACAGTGACTCGTCATAGAAGTGCCGAAACTTTTATTCAAGTCGGATGCTGTTAAGATAGAAACAACCTTGAGAGGAGGCGTCAACTTGAAGTTCCGCATTAATGAACTTCTTAGAAAGCAACCTCTATAAGGATGTAGGCATTTTTACGAAGGGCACCCTTGTGCAAGTAAGGTTTGGTTTATTTGAATACGTCAGAGCCCACCTGGGCTAAGGGACACACTAGAAAAGATGCCTTCGTGGAGGGCTTTCTAAGAGAAACTGAATCGTATACACGTTACACATGGGGAAAACCATGAAAACGTCCATGCAACGAACCTTTTTTCCTGGAATCTAACCCAAGTCGGAATTACCAGTGTTGGGCAACTTAAACTCACGGAAGCTGATGGGTCTACTGCTCAAAATGATTGTATAATTACAACTAGACTTCTAATCAGCTTATTGGATCAAACAGCACTTTAATTCTATTTGATATTTTTTGAGATATTTTTAAGTGTATTCAATTAATATGGACAAGAATTGCATAAAAACATATTTTCTCAAATAATTTCTAAGATCCTTTTTAGGAGTTATAATACCATACTCTTGTATTCTAGGTCACCATCGATTTTAAAACACAGCTCTTTATTTCAGTATACCAAAAGAAAGAACAACAACAACAAACAAACAAAAAAATTCAGTTCTAAAAAAATCCTATAAATAAAAAAAAATAAAAAAATAAAAGACTATATCTAAAAGATACCACTACAATAGAATTGGACTTTCCAACAATAATAGCTTTTGTTTATCAGCAGGCACACTACTCAGCTTTCATCTGAATCAATATCAGAGTCTACCTTAGAATTTAATTCTTTTAAGTCGTCTGCGTTTTCATTACTTCGCAACGCATTGGCGTTCGAGAGATTTCCGATGCAACATTATTTATATATTTCTTGTACTACTATTAGTTTCAAAACTCTTAATACCTATTCTATTAATTTTCTTGTCTCTTCTTTGCTCATTTTCTCGGAAAATTTTAATGGAAAGCTCTCAATCAAAATTAGGCATCATATTCTTTTCTGAAGTTATCTTTAATTTGTTTAGGCCCACCAGCGGCCGAGCGGTAAAGTCGCTGAACAATGGTAGTTCGATCCGAGGTTCGAATCCCGCGCACGGGCTGGCTGCATGGGCATTTTCGTGGTTTTCCCCATGTGTAACGTGTATACGAGCCAGTTTTTCTCAGAAAGTCCTCCACGAAGGCATCCCTCCTCTTAGGCAGATAGCCCTAGTGTGCTTTGCCATAATTAAATACACCAAACACCAAACTTTAATTGGTTTATTGGCGGATAGAAGACTTTCTGCATAAAAACAGACAGTTGGATGTCGTAAGTCTTTTCATGTTCTACAATTGAATCTCAATATATTGTCACTCAGTAAAATGGAGAGGAAAAATAGCTTTGTGGGAAAATGATTAAGCATGAAAATATCACGCTTGTAAATAGGTAATAAATAATATTTCTATTTACATAGAAAGTGTTATATTATATAACTACTAGTTATATTATATAAGAAGTTATATTATATATATAAGTCTAGTGTTATATATAACATAATTCACGTGGTCTTGTATTTTTAATTTTTTCGGCTTAGCTTTCTCATAATATTCGTCACGCGCTGCACTGCACGGGGAATAAAACAATTTACAGTTATGCAAGCAACCAATAAACTATTGGCGACAAACACTTAAGCCGCATATATAAGATTTAGATTTCTATTGAAGTAGTTTTTTTAACTGTAAAGAAATAATATTTTGAACCGTAAAATTTACAAAATGTAAAATTTAAAGTATTGAAAAGGTAGCCATTGTCATTGACCGCACATATTAATTGACTAGTCAAAGGGAACAAACCACTCCACCATCAATTAACAATAACCAAATTTAGTGAATGTGCTTCGTCTTTTATCCAAGTAAGGATCAAATTAGTTATTTTCCTAGAGTTAAATCAAAAGCTACGAACAAAAGTTAAAAATCAGAAAGAAATTAGTCTGCTTGAGCCAAAAGACTTGTCATAAACGCAAACTAAAATGAATTAGTAAGAATTTCTTAATTTAAGTTACTCGTTAAGAACTAGTAAAACGAGATCCTTACTTCAGAAAAAACATTCCCCGACGACATATCCTATGTCACGCTTTTGATATTAGAAATGCAATTTTGTCAATCAGCACAGTAGAACGGGAAATATAGTAATGTCCTCCTTTTTCGTGTGTGTGTATGAAAGTTGTACTTCTTTTCAAATATCCACTTCCTAAAGTATCCATCCAAGAAATGATTCTCTGAGAACTCAAACCATTAATACAGTAGAATTATATTAATAATATAAGTATACTACTATATAATTAATTCAGTAAAACTAAACTATGGATACAGGAATCGGGATATGGATATCGGGAAACTATGAATACAGGAATTAATAATATTGTTTGGTACTTTTCCGTTTTGCCGGCGCAGGCGATAAAGTCGCCAATAATGGTACAAATGGTGCCAAACGGAATATCTTCGCTGGTAACATTTTACGCCTCATTTTCAAAACAAGTCGCAACCTTTTTTTTATCAGATTGATTGTCTCTTTCAATACTGGCATACAATTACACAGAATTTTTACCAGATAGTTCAGTTTTATGCCCTAAGGCCATAAGTCAATTAGGATGCAATCACACCGCTCAACCGAAGGCGAAATTATAGAAATGGCAAAGTCAAGGGTTAAATTCATCATTTCTAATGAGAATGCACTAAAGAAGTAAAGCACTGCTGTTTTACATAATTCTGAGTAAGCTATTCGTACGAATTGAAACAATTCTGGCATTTAAACTTGTATTCCAAACTAAGATTTAACTTGAAATTCATGTAGATAATTACTGAGAGGAGAATTAGATTTTTGTAGCGTAGTTTACGTGGGAGGAGATCACTTGGGGTCACGTGATACGAACCGGCGAATCAGGATGTTGAACCATGAAAGCATAGTAAATTCTTAAATTAATGTCTTTTTACAAATTTATTGTCTTTATTTATTGGCTTTTTACAAAATTTTAAACGCTATTAAAATGTTTATGGCCTTCAAAATAAAAAAATTCTTAGAACTAAAATTTGTTAACATTTTTTTATGTGCATACTGTGTGTTGTCGCCAGCTTGGCGAGATTTGCGTCGACGAAACGGAAAAGTACCCATTGTTTATACAGTACCCTTAATTCAGAGGCACAGATCGCAAATGATACTTGCGGTAAAACAATCGTTACAGGAATGGTAAATTAATATTTTACTGCACAGGTTTTGGAGTAAAATTATATTACCTACACATCGCCAATCGTTCAATAGCTCCTTTAAAATGCTGAAATTGCACTGATCCGTTATTTCAATCTCCTTTTAAAATCCCAGTTTATAAAGTGTATAATGAAATCAACTTAAAACAGAAAGCAATTTATATTTCTATTTAATCAATAAATATGCAGTACAAAGTCTGTAATCTTGACGTCCATTATCCGGAATGATCTATATTTCGGATCTCAAAGCCACAAACTTACGCATGCGCGTTTAATGTTACGCATGCGCGTTTAATGTTTACGCATGCGCGTTTAATGTTTACGCATGCGCGTTTAGCACAAAAAAACGAAGCAACATAAACAACTTACTTTGAAAGAAATGTTTAATAAAAAGGTAAACAAATAAATATTAAGCTTTTTTTTTTTTTTTTTTTTTTTTTTTTTTTTTTTTTTGTAAATTTTGATACCCTTTAGATTATAATTGCTCTTTATTTCATAAATTACGGTTTCATATTTTTAATTGTATAATTTCTGCATGCCATCTTACCAGATTTAAATTGATGATCTATAATCCGGAAAAACCGGAATCGCCGAAGTCCCGACGAGTCCGGATTACGGACTTTGTACTGTATATGCATGTGGTCAGAGAGTAATGTAGTGTGTTTCGTTCTCTTAGATACAGCAGCGAGGAGTGGTGGCACGATGAAGCCAACCTCAAAAAATTCAAAGGCAGCCAAGGAAAGACAGGGACATATTTACTGCGCTTAACCGACTGGTGTAAGTTGCCAATAATTTTGTTGAATTACCGTCTTTTCTTTTTATAAGGTTCCCTTTTATTTGGTTCCTCTGTTTATCTGTTTTGTTTATGTGAGATATTGAAAGTATTTTTTTACCTCTTCTACCATTCCGATTTTATTGAAATTTTTCTTATATACCTGTTTGCATTGAGAAATCTCGCAGGCGCTTTTATTAAAATTTTATCAGCTCTAAGGGTCAATTTACCCAGATGCGCTATTAATTTCGTTTTGGCATATTGCGTCGTCTTCTATAAAACGGCATTTCACTTTTCAAATTGTTGCCACAAATATTAGACCCTTGCATTATATTTAAAGAAATGAAATAATGAAGAATCTGAGTGAACGTATGGTATGGTCCTCGCATTGTGATAAAACAACGTTATCTTGAGATATCAAATTTTAAATAATGTACTCCTCCACTCGAATAGGAGCATCTGGAAAGCAAAATTTGGAATTTGCTTTATTATCTATTTCATATTTTGTATTTTGTACGAATTTTTGATTAACAACTCAACGATTTCAAAGCGAGCAATAGCAAAAAAATCGGTATTATTCGGTTTCGAGGGCCATAAAAAATCGCCAAACTACTGTTGATGCCAATGATGCCAAAAATAATTGCGGCAAGAAAGGAAGTATAATAGTAAATAACTATCTAAGATTGATGTTTTAATTTACATGAAAGGTTAATTTCATACAATACTTTTTATTATTATAACTTTATATAAAAAAAGGCTAAACATGACTGAATGGAAAGCATAAGAGTAAATAACTATTTCAGATCATTATTATAATTTATATAAAAAAATTGCTAAACATAACTGAATGGATTGCCTGCATCGCTATTTTCGCTACCGACCTATCGCTAAAGCACAGTTTCATCTCGTTGGTTGTTCAAACGTAATTTTCTATAATGAATGATGCCTTTTCTTTGAAAATATTCTCGGTAAAGTGCAGAATCATCCACTTATTTGTTTGCCGCTTTTTACAAGGGTAAAAACAATTGGATTTTTGTCAATTTTATTTTATTTTTTAAATGAAAATAGGTCGATGTGTACATAGATAAAGTCAAGGGTGTGCGCAGTGCCATTTTTGTGCAATTCTAGGATTTTTTTTTAAAGTGAAAATAGGTCGATGTGCACATGGATACCGAATATGTGCAATTCTTAAAAACTCGTCAAGCAGTGGGTGATTCTGCACTTTACCCAAAATTCTATTGCCGACTTTTCGTCATGGGCAATTCCCAAATTGTTAAATCCATAGGATATCAAAAAAAGGATTTAAAATCAAAAAAGGATTTAAAAATTAAACTAGTATTTCAATGGCGTCTTAAGAAATATAGAACTACTATATAAACTTACGCAATATGAAATCAGCACGTACGTGATTTGGCGCGCATTTAAATTGGCGCGTTTGCTAGATTTGGCCCTTTAGCGCATACAATTTCGCTGCAATTTTTTTTACGGCCCTCAAAACGGAATAGTACCAATAAAACATTTTAATTTCCAGCGCGCGAGACTGTGTATAGGAAATTGTTCATCAAGCCAAGAGTGTGTAACGGAAAAGTTTTGATGCATTCTCTCGTTTCCTATACTTATATTCGGAAAAGGATTTATACTCGTTTATGAAAATATAAAATTATAAGAAGTTTGATCCTCATACGAAAACAAATTGACCGAGACATTTAATTTCAAAATTTGCAGTTTGTCATTTTCAAATTGCTTTGAGGAATCGGTTAATTCAGTTTAAATAATTGGAGGAAATAAAGTTAGAAGATGTACAGTAAAGATGTAAAGACTGCACATAATTTATGATAGGTCGCACAAGGAAGTCATGTGTTCAAGGCCGTACAAGGAAGTTTCCACATCAAATTTTTTTTATTATTATTTGTAATACCGTTGCTAGCATTTTATCTATTTTTAAGTCAAAAAATCTAATCCTTCATTGTTAAAATCACCATGACCTTATTGAAGAAGCGATCGAATTTCTAAATCAAACAGAAATATTAACGATTGGCATGATATCATAAACCGTTGGATAAATCGCAAGACCTTAAAAAAATTGATGTCACAGATACTTCACTGTTATAAGAAAAAAATCAGAAATAATATTTTTATGCTCATGAGGCAACAATTTTTTTTCTTTCTTACTTTTCCACCCCCGAAAGATAAAAAGGTGTAAAATAAACACAATTTTACGTAAATACACTTAAAAATAATAACATCTCATTATACTTTCATTTGATGATATAAGTCACTAAGTATTGCTTTAATATTAACAAACCAACAAGGCTTTATCTTATAATATAATATGTACGTCATATTTTAATGAATATCATATTGTTTTGAATTTTGTACATATGTTAATAATTTTAGTGAAATTGTCGGGTTTTTTTTTTCGGGGGGGGGGTAATTTAACATGGAAAATGTACAGAAGCGAAGCTTTCCCGGAAAACTAAGAAACTTGGGCAAATCTATTTAATATTCAGTAAATGGCTACCTGGCTTAGTTGGCCAGATATCGCCAAGATGGCGATAATTTGGCAACAAAAATTAGTCGCTAAATTTGGAAAGAAATTGCCAAAAGTCGCCACACTTTGCGACTATTTGTAAATATTTTTTTCCGGTCGCTATATAACTGTAATGAGTATTGTAATTGAGTAAATGTAACTGATCACTATATGCAAATGTAACCTAGACGTAACTTTAACCATATATGTCTTCCGGTAATTTCAGAAAACAGAATTTACTAGAGATTTCTTTGCGGCCGGGAAAAAAACTACATAGGACAGAAGTGAGATTTAATTTCTGATTCGTTCTTTAGTTCAGCGTGTATTCGGAGTATTGCGATATCTTCGCTATTCTCGCTCTTTAGATGCGCTGTGCATTGCATTGTGTTTAATGTTCTTAGTAGTTTGAATTAGAATTATAGTTTGTACTTCGTGATACTGTGAAGAGCTGTACAAGTATTTTTGTCGGAAGTTTCAGAACTGGGAAGTGTTTCGTTAAATAAAATAAATTTTACCAAGCTATCATCGGTAGAGCATTCAATCTATTACGAACCCCAACGCACGCAACCATATCATAACTCACGAATCGTAATTTTTATGAATATGTATTTGAAAATGTGATTTTAATTCAATCATATTTTAATGAATAAAATGGTAATCATATTTTTAATGACTTCAAGGGTCTACTCATTAGTATTCTATTCAAATCAAATTTTACAATGGAGTTTCACGCGATCCAGTTGCGTTCAGCCAGACCTAACTAATGTTGCATTAGAGATAGCGTGCTTAGATTTAACTAATACTCCTGGAGACACCATTCTTAGTGATGGGAAAAATTAACTATGCGAAGCCTCAACTCAAGTTCCATTTCCATTGAAGCATGGTAAAAGACAGTTTTTAAATTTGTTTTAAACGCTTAAATAGGTATTATGAAGCTCAGAGTAATATTTAGTATTAGCAGAGCTTAAATTGGGCCTGAGCCCACCAGAGACTAGCTCTAGTACTTCTTAGTGTTTGGGACATATTTCTAATTCTAGCCGGAGAGCACCGGAGCCCTAAATAAGAAGGCTCCAGTACTTTTTTATGTAAATGAACAATTGTTTTAGTAGAATTTTGATCCAGAAAATTTTATTTTTAGCAATAAAATTATATGAAAAATCGCTTATTAAATTTTAATTATCTCTTTACATTTTATTTATTTACTTTAATCTTTAATTATTTTAATAAATAATAATAAATAAATTCTTTATTAATTAAATATTAATTATTAATATAAAATAAGTAATTATTAATCAATTTGATACTCATTAAGTATTTAATTTAAAAATTATTAATGTTTTTAATAGTCATTTTATTAATTTGTTTACTCTTTTTCCTCTTTCCTGACGGTCTTCCATAGGACTCTGGCACATTTAGAAATTAAGTTCTGAGTATTAGAGTTCACTTATATTAGTCAAAGAATGGTATTTTATGCTTTATTTCTCAAGCAAATTTAATTCAAAAGTTCTTTTAGTTTCTTAAAATGAAAAATTTTTTGTAAATGTAAAATGTTTAGAAAAGGTACTCCAAATGACAAACTGGGTGTTTTATATTTCTATGTGCCTCTTGGATTATCGTAAAGATATCGTTTCATTTATGACATTTTTTAAATGGTTCGTTTATGGAATTATAATGGTATGGTTTATTTATGGTATGGTTTTTTATGGTTCATTTATGGTATTTTTTTAAATTTTCACCAAAGGGCACCTTGTAATATATTTTTTCCGCTAAAATTAAGTAAGAATATAAACCAAAAAAAGGCTTGGGAATTATCTGTAACCCAGAGCTACAGTGAGTGCCAAAAATGACGATAACATGCGTATAAATATCTGTCTACCAATTGCAAACTTAACCTTAAATATTGCGAAGCTCGAGAATTGATTACTCCCACATCTCGAAAGCGAAGTACTAGAAAAATACGAAGTTACATGCTCGAGAAATGATGACATCAAAACACAGAATAGCGGACCATCATCATATTGCTCGACGAATTCCAATTTTACCTAATTTGATAATTACATTACGTAAAAATTGCTACCCAGTGTTTACTAAAAATTGTTTGTAGAAGGATATCAGCTAGATGAGCATCATAGTTAACTTCGCAAAAAACCAAAGTAATTGACACCGCGTTGGCCACCAAATTTACCTTGGCACCTACAAGAAACAGAAAGCCCACAAGTAATACAAAATGAAATGTCTTTATAAGTGAGAAAGAAAATTTAGACTGATTCCATGTGTTATAATCATACTGGTACGCGGTAAAATGCGGGAGAGGATCGACAATGCGTCTTTTTACAATGGAATGCAAATTAAAACGCGGAAAGCGAAATTAAATGAAATTCCATCTTTCAGGTAAAACTATTAGCAATTATAGAGGCAATTAAATTTGCAAAAGCATTCTCTACAACTAGCATAATATTATATAAGAGTGTATGT